TTTGAAATGTCACTATCAGGCCTCAGAAAAGCGAGTGCTCCAGCACACGTGTGCTGCCCAGGGAAGGAAGTGGTTCAGAGCCACTTGGGGAACAGCCATCCGTCTTTGTGAGAGAAAATCATTAAACTCTTCAACCAGAAGCTTATCAAGTTACAGGACTTTTAACAGAGCAGTCTTCTCAGCATCATACTCTGTCTCCCTGAGAATGGCAGAAGTTGCCAAATTTCGTTACAGCAGGGATAAGGTGGTTGGGCCTTGTGTCCAACGAGCTGTAGCAGCTGTACAATACCTGCAGCATCTGCTGCTGGTAGCAGCGCAATGATTTTTCACTTCAGTGCTGCAGATGGCTGGCAAATTCATGACATGGCCACAGATGTTGGCAGTGCTCAGGGTGGTATATGGTGTGCAGATGTTCTGGCTTGAGTATCTTCAGCCCCAATGTCAACCTCTGTCCACTCTCAGGCAGGTGGCTTTCACTGTAGTGCCTCACTGGTGTTCATCAGTGATGGGCAGGAAGGAAATGCAGCTGTGACGTGGTTCGGATGGTTGCTCAGCATCACCCAGACTGCAGCTACATGCTTCGCGTGGTGAATTGGTCGCTACTGGGGAGAGGGAAATGCTGAGACCTACTGGTTGTCACTCCGTGCCCCAATCTTTGTAAACACTTTACTAGGAAGTGAAAACAATGATAAAACTTCTTTTGAAAATTGATAAAACTGATAAAACTCCTGCCTTTACAGCCCTATTAAACCACTGCCCACCCTAACCTTTTGTGACAGCAAGTATGGGAAACTTGGTTTCAGTAACTCCTTTTCCAAATAAAAATTAATTCCCCTCCTTGTGTCAGTAGGCAGTTATGTTTCCCTCCCACTGAAGATTAGAGCTGCTTTTGTGTGAACACATTACCCCAGCTAACAGCATCATGGATTTGCACTGTGCTGAATATTTCAGGCGCCCGGTCATAACCCACCCTGCCTTTTCCATGAAGCTGAAGTAAGTGTTGCAGAGCAGCTTAATGTACTGTAGAGTCATGCCTAAGCTTACTACTTGCTCGTAAGCCACAACAGAGGCGTTTTTCCCTTGCTGAATGTTATTTCATCTTTGCTGAATGCTGAGCAGCTGCAGGCTTTGCTGCTTCTTTGCCAAGTGCTGGGTTGTTAGCAGTGAAATGTTTTGGAGGCACAACTGCCCCATTGCGAAATGGGGTGTCAGAAAGAACAAGTAATGGGCAGGTGGGAGTACTAGGGTGATGGCAGTATATGGGGAGACCCTGCTTCAGCAAGGTTTGTGGGAATAAGTTTTCACAGAATCACAGGCTCACAGAGTGGTTTGGGTTGGAAGGGACCTTAAAGACCATCCAGTTCCACCGCCCCTGCCATGACAGCTTTCGCATGAACCAGGATAGGAAAGTAGCTTGAGGTCAATGCTTAATTCTTCTTGAAATGGTGCCCCAGGGTGTATGGAAATAGCCTGGCATGGGTAGGTAACTTGTTAGAGGATAGGAAATAGAGGGCAGAGCTGAAAAGATATTTTCCATGGTAGAGTGAGATCTCACATGCATCTGTGCTCAAGCTGATAGCACCCAATACATCCACACATGATCTGGGAAAGAAAAAAGTTAAAACAGTTTTCTTCTGGTGCTAGAAATCAAGATATTATAGATGGGGGTCAAGAGAAGAACTGTAGAGGGCTGTTCGAGGACTTTGTGATGATGAGCAATTGCATTATGGAACAGAAGATGAAGTGCAGTTTCCCACTAGAATGTCAGCCCAGTAGTGACAAAAAAAAAAAGGAGGGTGGGGAGGGGGGAAGAAAAGGAGAAGAGAAGAGAAGGGAAGGGAAGGGAAGGGAAGGGAAGGGAAGGGAAGGGAAGGGAAGGGAAGGGAAGGGAAGGGAAGGGAAGGGAAGGGAAGGGAAGGGAAGGGAAGGGAAGGGAAGGGAAGGGAAGGGAAGGGAAGGGAAGGGAAGGGAAGGGAAGGGAAGGGAAGGGAAGGGAAGGGAAGGGAAGGGAAGGGAAGGGAAGGGAAGGGAAGGGAAGGGAAGGGAAGGGAAGGGAAAGGTTATCTGGAACAGGATACAAGCCCCAGACATACAGCTGGGATACTGGGTGCATCCGTACCCTGAGTGCTGTGGGAAGTTCTCAAAGATGGCAAAGTAAACCTGGGTATGTTCCATAGGAGGACACTCAAATGTGTGGAGCAGCTTTCAGATGAGGAACAATTAAAGTTACTAAGACTCTTCAAAACAGAAAATAAAAAAGAGAGATTGAGAGAGAACTGTCATCTATAAAATTGCAAGTGTTGCAGAAGAAACAAATAGGGATATTTGCTGTCCCTTCCAATACAAACAAATGGGGCATCAACTGACACTAGCAAGTGTCTAGCTCAAAAACAAACCACAAAGAAGAGTTTGATCCTCACACAAAATGGAGACAAGATAATAAACTTAATGAGTAGTGTTATGGATGCCACTTCTGGACTTTCATTGTGGATGCCAAAGCTTCTTCGGGCTCAAAAAAGCATGTGGAAAAACTGGCTGAAGAAAAACCTATCACGTTCTATCACATACAAGTTACCACCTCTGACTCAAGGTCCCCACACAGCATTTCTGCCTGTGGCTAGAAATATGTTCTGGGAATTATTGGTCCTGGCTTACCCTGCCCTTTATCCTCTCCTCTATGCATCTGCTGCTGCAGGCAGGAAGCTTGGTTATGGGTATTTTTGCTGTAAGCAAGGAAAGGCTTTCTTTTTCTCTGATTAGTCTAGCCAACAGTAAGCACAGCACAGACCTGTCTTAAGAAGAAAAACAGTGAGATGCATAAATGCAATTAAAGAAATCTATTATCCAAGTGCAAGACAAAAGACCGCATTGCATCCATGAAGCACCACATAAGCAGCTTCTGTTTGTATTTCTAATCAGCTCCGTTTTCATCTTTCACTTTGGAGCCTCAAACCCATTACTAAATTTCAGATAGGATACTAATCACTGGAACAAGGCAGATGTGCAATTTTTCCAAAATGGTTCAGAAACAAGTACAAAGAAGGTTAGTTGGTGGTGTATATTAATTACTCCTTCCAGTGGCAACCTTATCCAGAAGATGTCACCAAAACACAAGTAGTGCTCAGCATTCCTAGAACAAGGCACGTAAATGGAAGGACTTCAAAATTGTATAACAACCACAGAAAAATCAAGACAGATGTTGAAAGAACACCTTAAATAAAATTGCTGTTTTTCAGGGAGAAGATTAAACCCTTATATCATCATAGCAAGAAGTCTGGAATATAGAATCCATGTACAAAGGGCAAGTCAGGCACACAAAATATCATGATATTTTGAGCAGAGATCACATTCTTGTCAAAATTCTTCCCTCACATTGACAAAACAGAGGCATAGCAGCCAAAAAGCTGATTGCTCTATTTTTCTATCCTCACTAAATCCCGTCACTATTTGTCTTCTCTGCTTCCCCCTTATTGATACCTTCCTTCCATCAGGGACTTGCATAGTAACAATCTGCTATTTCAGCTACTGTTAGGGAGTGTATCCACACACACACTGAGTCAATACTTAATTGCTGCAGTACAGTGATCAGCTGCACGCCCAGCAGATCATGTTTGCCAACTGGAACTCTGTTTTTGCTATTTGCCCTTGCATGGTGACTGTAATTTTAAAGTACTGGAGATAGTCTTTGTCTAAATACAAACAAAAATCCAGAAGGAAAAAAAAAAAGAGTTTTATAACCTGAAGGAAAGCAAAATGCAGCAAGTAAAAAGTATTAGTTAACACAAATTCAGAGCTATTGTAGTGGTACCTGTTGTTAGTTAAGGCCAAATCAGTGCTTGGAGCAAAGTCTCTCTTAGCACTTCCAAGAGGTTGGTCTAGCATGACAGAAATCTCACTGCTCTAACCTCAAGCAGATAGCAATCAGCCCCTGATATCTGACAAGTAATTATAATTTCTTCTCCTTGTGACAGCCAAGCACGGGAATGAGCCAGCATGGGTCGTGTTAACTAAGCTGACTGTGGCTCAGGAGATGCTGCTGTGGGAATAGGTAAAGCATAAAGCACCTGGATCAGGACAACAGCCTGCAGGAATTGTCTGAAATCTTGAACTTTGTGTTTAAAGGTTCTTTTGACCCTCTCTGGCACCAGAAGATAACCCCATGCCATGATGCTTATCCTTCTCTAAGAAGAAACCAAACCAAATCTAGCTGGCAATGACAAAATCCATAGATGCTTTAGGAATGACTGCCTGTAAGGACAAATCACGCTGAGTACCATTTTACATGGATATCCCTGATAAAGATGTTCTAGGAGCAATAACAGAGTATGAACCACAGCTTTCAAACTCTTTTATTCAGATTTTGTTGGTGACTGCCTAAATGATTTATACATGTACCATTTTGAGCATGAAGCTAAAAATACTTGCTCTAGTGGTATTTGCACTATTATAGGAAGAAGTTTTATAAGTGCTGCTAGATAATAGGTGCATAATGGGAAGAGTAACATTCTTATAATTCAAATTGATGGAGTTAACCTAATCTCTAGGAACTTTAAATAATGGAAAGTATGCCCTTTCTCATTTTGGATCTGTCAAAACAATGGAACGGGGCCAGGTCTATACTAAAAAAAGTTTCTGTTACCTTGAAATCTGAAAGAATTTCAGCATGAAGTTCCAGTGTCCTGAATATACCTGTAGTCTAGACAGATTTTGTTATAGGCTTCAAGATTATATACACACTGCTAGGAACAGTCCATTTTCTATAATTAGATTTTCCATCTACCCACTGTAATATGGAAGTCTTCAGTAAAAATAAACAATAAAGTCCAAACATCTAGCACCTATTGAACAAGAAATGTTTTGCAATTTCTAAAAGTTAAAAAAAAAAAAAAAAAAAAGCCAGTGATGAGGAGAAATGAGAACTCTTATTAAAGAGGAATTTAATTGGATTTCAAAAAATGAATAGTATGCCAAAGAAGTTCACAAAGCAGACAGAGTCCTTAAAAAAAATCAATGCATGGAATCTAGCCTTGTTGCTTGTTTCTGAGCAATTAAAGCACTGGTGTGTTCCTGGTAGAAAAGCAGTTTCCTTAGCAATCTGTGGAAGTTAAAAAAACACAGAAACAGAAAAAAGATTTAGTGGCATACATGCTTAAAGTAGTAATAAAAATGCAATTGAACTTTACTAACACGTTGAATCCCAAGTCACGACTAACAGATTAAATCTGAATCTAAGACACCACATAGTCCCAAGCTACCCCATAGCGAAGAAACTCGACAAGGAGTGAGGGTCAGGAAGTTAAAAGCAATCCCTGCAGAAGTCAATGGTGTTGTAAATGTCATTCTCCAGTGCTAATGGCGAGCACTTGTCTGGTTCAGAGGGTCTTCTTCAGAAAGGTTTTCCGATTTGCCTCTGTCCGTAACAGGAGTTAGGGTTGGTTTTTCTGAGTGAGAATAAACAGAGGTGGAAGAAGGGGGGTGGGCTGCTGTTTTAATGTAAGCTAGGACTGGAGATCAGGTTGAGTAACTGACAAAGATTCTTCTTTCTGTCACGCATTAAGAAGATCATATAGCTTTATGTAAGGGTAGATTTTTACATCAAAGTCTAACGCCTGATTAGAGATAATTTAGGAAGTCAGGCAATGTGAACAGATATCCAGCCTGACTGGGTGGAACAAAATCAGAATTTCAGGCTCTGGAAAGTTCGGTTTACAGATCTACCAGGCAATATATCACTGGAAATGCACAGCTTTGTTTGTTTGTTTTGTTTTTGACAGAAATCCTCCTCCACAAAAACAATTCTTGTCTCTGTCATAGCCTAAATGAGAATGCTCAACAGTAAGCACACTTCTCACTAATTTGCTGCAGTTTGTGCAAAACCTTCCTGGTTTCCCACAGACCTGGAGGAGCAGTATGGTTAAGGTATTATTAGATGTTGGGATCAACCATAACTGACACGGTTATCAGCTGGGTGACCGCTGAGATCTTTGCCATTTCTAAATTCAATAAGCTTTCAGTATATACTTCTATGAACAAAGATATTGCTACAGAGCAATGAAAAAAAAAGCCAGCAGATGCTGAAATCCACTTTTTCTCTTCTGTTATGTTGCAAGTGGGTCCATGTCCTGCTCTCTGTACACATCATGTTTGGGTCTGCTGGTAGAGCTAAAGAAGATCTACCATCCTAACACTGTGGGGGAAAAGTGCTTCCATATGTAACAGCAAGTAACCTGAGCTACTGTCAGCTAGAAGCAATTGAAAAGTCACATTTTACTTCACATGCTGATCATTTAGTCTTCTGTATTTTCATCCAGTGCTTAGCAGTATTCACATGCTGTCATACACATTGCAATTAAAAGAAGACACAGTTATGAGAAAATTACTAGTTCTTTACATCTACTTTTAGTTTCTGTGCTGTTTTCTGTGTCGGTAGAGAATACAACATTGCATATTGCTCTTTTATCAAATTCCATCAAGTAGCATTTGCTGGTACTGATTTCTTGTATCTTAAAACTCTTCACGTTCTAGGAGCTACAGTCATGACATTTCTGCAGCTGGCATACCCACAGTACCTGATTATTTAAAAATAGGATGGAAAACGTGATTGCCTAAGTGTACCTTCAATTTCCTTCAGAGCCCTCCTCTTGATGAGGGACCAAGGTTAGGTTAAAGCTGACCTCCTGGCCTCTTCTCTGAACGTTTCTCTGCAGGCGATGGAGCAGAAGTGTCAGTTCAGAAGCAATACCATCGTGGGAATGATGGTTCAGTGCCAAATTTGGCACTGGTGCCAGTGACAGAGATTCAAGCTGACACTGAGATGCAAGGTCTTTTAAATTAGTTTGGCATCAAACATCCAAAATGCTTGTCGTCATTGTCCTGTAATGCAAACAAAACAGCCTGGCAGACCCTAAAGGCTGTGGTGTTTTTCTCTTGTCAGTCTGGTTTCTCAATGTTCACTTTTCAAATGCACATCCTTTATCTAAGTGCCTCGTTGGAGCTCTTGGAGGATGCAGAGAAGGTTCCTACCCACGGCACAACGAGTGGGACTCTGGGTGAGCTTCCCCCCGGTTTGTTTCCTTAGTTGAAACAGTGTTAGTGGTTAGAAATGGCATACTGGAAAGAAAGGTCTGAAAAGTCTGTATTTCTCTGACAAAAAGGGACAATGTCCCAGCCTGTGATGAGATGTGGCTCTTACAGCCACCACCCTGGCAGTGGTGCCTCCAACTCCAACCTTCTGCCTTTAAATGAGGAATTCCTCAGGTATCTCCTCTCAAAATTCAGTGAGGAAAAAGCTTTCTGAACAGCACTGTACCTAATTAGATGCTATTAGTAGGGAAAGTGGAAAAGGTTAACTGAGTTTCTATCACCATTTAGATGCCTAAGGACTTGCTGGATCGAGGCTGGATAGCTCTCAGGCTTAACCTGAGGTATATAGTTAAGTACGTGTCTGCATGAAGACCTGTATCTTTAGCTGCTCTGAGTCACTGGGTGCACCCTGGTATTTATAACACTTTGTGATGCTAAAACTAGCCTGAGCCCTTAGATTCTTTTCCAAGCAAGCCAATGAAGGAACTTTGATTTTAATGATTTTCTGTTAGCATCAATGTAAGATGGGTTTAAATAAATCACAGTAAATAGCAATGCACTAGACAGCCTGTATCTTTAGCCATCTCAATTTACATGTCTGAAAATGAAAAAAAGAAAAAAAAAAGAAGTAGAAATATGCAGGAATGCGGGACCATTCCTTTCTCTCTTCACTAAATGACAGCACTGTTTCATATTAAACAGCAAAAAGAATCAGACTGATCAGCCACCCACACACTTTCTTTGAAGCTCTCATAAATTGGATCAACATTTAGAAAGCACGGCAAGTACTGGCATTTAAGTAATATTATAAAAACAGTCAAGCTGCGATAGTGAATATGTATCCTTCCTTTGTACATTAGCTTCCCTGTGCACACATGATGTTATGAGACACTGCTCAGCAATACAAGAACATGATTTTTATGGGAATTTTGCAAACAGAAATCATATCTTCTTTTATGTGCACGAGAAATGCAGTTAATCTCCCTCTCTCCCCAGCACCAGCTATTCACAAAGCTGCTCCCTCTGGTTCTGTAGTGTGCTCTGAGCCCGGTATCTGCATCTCCCAATGCAGGAGGTTAGCCAGGAGCTTCTGTGCGCAGCCTACCTCTTGGTCCTCCCACGCCTCCATTTAAACTGGCTTGGATCCTGGTGTGCCTTGGGAACAGCCACAGCTATTGCTGAGCCATATTCCCCCCTCGTCGAAAGTGACGGGCAAGTTCATTGCTTCATCGGTGGTATGTATCCTCTGCTTCCAAAGAAGGACAAATTAAATAGAATAAAACTGTTTTAAGATTTGTTCATCTCCAAGACACATAGCTGCCTTTTCATCCTTTTTTTTTTTTTTTAATACATATATATATAAACAATGCAGCTGCTTGAAAACAAGCTTGCGCTGTCATTTTCCCTCAATGATATTTCAAGGAAAAGTCGCTGTGAACAGGCAGTGGCAGTCTGTCATTCTGCTCTTCTGCCTTGGGCTGTTATTTATGATTTGTGTACACACACAAAAAAAGATTTAGGATGATCTCTTTATCATAAAGAGGCTGGTCAGATGCATTAATATCCTTTAAAAGAACACCTGGCCTTTAATTTTTACCCTTTTTAATGTGCCAGTCCCTCATAGCACCAGTCTCATCTCCATTCAGAAAACATCAATTTTGCTGTTGAGACTCCATTGGAGTGATGGAGTGTTGAGACTCCATCACTCCATGGTGACCTTGTTCCTATTCCAGCTGAAACTTTCCAAGCCAGCGTGATGAACCCTCATGAACGCATTGTCCAGGAACATGCACTGGTGGCCTCCTTCTGAAGCCACCCCACAGCTGGTTCAGAAACTCACCATGTGTGCAAGTTCTATCACAGAACAAAGCATCAGCATGTGCAAGAAATGTGTCATTCAGTTTGAGTCTCCAGCTACCTCACATTTGAAGCCAGGATGTATAGGTTAGCACAACATATTGCAACTACCTGAACTGTAGGTTTTCCACCAAAGTCCTTGTCACCCCACTTGGAGCACTTCAGCTCCTAGAGGAGGGCGACCAGCAAGGTTTTGAGTGTAGGGAAAGTTGCTTTCTATGGAGATGGGTGGAGAATCAGTTCAGTTAATGAGATTCACAGGGCTCCCTTTATTCCAGCTTGCATGCTGATGCTGTTTGTGAGCCTGACAGCTTGCTGCAGCTGTTTGCCAGCGATCACCAGAAGTCATAATTCTAATTTCTTTGGTCTGTATCATCTGACTGCCTCATCTGTGCAGGCTACGGGAGCCAGGCAAACGTGCACCGCCCATGAGCAGCTGTGAAACACGAGACTTGCTTGCAGTGTGCTGAATGAAGGGTTCACAGCATGAAGAAAAAGCTCACCCCAAGGGCAATCAGTGTCTCTGGGCAAGACAGTGCTACCCCCCCTCCACCCAAACAGGCACATGAATGCCTTCTGCCTGGGAAGACTTCTCCAAACAACTGTTGCTTGTGAAAGTTAACGAACAGAGCAGGCCAGGGAGCATTTTCTCTTCGAAGAGAAGTCATGATGCCCGCAGTGTCACGCTGGATCCTATCTTCTGCCTTCAAGGCAACAACGTTTATCCGCTTATTAAGAGGCCCAATAGATTTGGTCTGCTTGGGCTAAGCAGAGACCATGCAATTCATTTCACTCCAAACTGGAATTTAAAGCAGAGTTTAAAACTGCAGACCCAGAAAATTGATCTTAAAAAACCCACTCAACTCTGCGAAGAGCTCGTAAACCTAAAATTAAAGCTTTAAAATAAATGCAAAAGCCATCATCTCCTGCATTATGTTTCTCAGTTATACCAATTTAAAATTTTCACACCGAGATAATCAGAGCAGCCCAGCTCCGTGTCAGCAATATCACCTACACTAATGCCCTGCAAGCACCGTCACAAACCCTCTCAGGTGGGAGGCCAAGTGCCAGCATCAGCCACTGGACTTGTAATCAATTTTTTCTCTCAAGTGTAACTTCATTCTTGTACTCTGTGAATCTATCACTGTGTACAGGGACAGCTGTACACACATTTTACAGAGATAAGTGAGATGAAACCACTGACAATGAATTCACTTTCTGTAGATGCACAGTACTTCTCCCCTGTGCAGCTGTAGCAAAGGCAGGACTGGAGCAAAGTAATGCAAAGCAGGAGGAAAGCAAAAGCAAAGAGATGTTTAAGACCTGCTATTGTTTCTTGCTCTGGAAGGGAGCTCTGTTTCCCTATCATAAACTTTGCTGTCTTAGCGAGGGATTGTTCTGAATGTTTCCACCACTGTTGTCTCAGGAGGTTGACCCACCCCAAGCCGTTCGATGATGATGGTGACTACAGTCTTCAGTTTCTCACTGCTGTCACCCATGCAGGCAGCTGGTATTTGTATTCCCAGTTCTCCTCTCCCATATCACAAAGGTTTACCTGATCTTTAAAGTGCCCCCAAATAAGCTGGACTTGGAGGAGCCCCTGTAGTTTCTCAATAAAGGGAAAAGTACAGATGAACTACACAATCCTTGGAGCTAAGCGATGGAACTAATTATTTCCAATACTGAATCATGTCATATGAATTCACTAACTAAACAGTTACTTAAAATTAGAGGGGAAGAGAAGAAGGAAGAAAAGGTGTTTTCAAAATAAAGAGAGATGGCTACAGAGGCCAGCAGTGAGTGCTCTGTTGATAGCAGGCTGAGTTATCTGCATTTATTCTAAAATCTAGCAAAACATGAATAAGCAAGTTCTTATGTGCTACTGAAGTAGTAGAAAATACCCCATTATAACCTTTTGTAGTCTTATCATTAATAATATGAGTATCTTCTTTTTTCCTCTTGTTAGACCATTTGAGCCCAACCAGAAGTTCTTCAAGGTTCTCCATTCACCACACGAGCTAGCAAATGGCTCTCCCTAGCTCCAGGGTCACAGATCTCAGCTCAGTTCAAGACCACGCTTTTGGCAGAGGTAGCCCTCCCAGCAGGCAGGTTCGCTCACCGCTGTGACCATTTGTCGATCCTGGAACAAGCAGAGACGTTTAGGCAGCAGTGCTGTGGTCGTCTTGTTCTAATGCCTTAGTTGTCTGGCGTGATGCCTGGCATCTTTTGATGCCTCGTTATCTTGTAAAAGCAGAACAGCCGCACACGTGGTGCAGTTTTCCAATGAACGAGTCACAAGACTCTCGGAGATATGGCTGGTGAAAGACTGTTGAAATGCTCTTAGAATTATAATAACAACTTATCAATGCTTGGAACAAAATCATCCTTTTACTGATTAATTCACAGGCTCAGGGAAGAGTGTTTGCTCGTGAAATCTCTTTGCTTTTTTTAAAAAAATATTATTTTTTTATTGGTGATCTGTAATAAGGGAATGTTAAGAAGAGCACAGTTGTGGACTCCTCTAAATTTAGCTCTGTTATCAGACAGCTGTCTTGGGAGACTAATAGATAAAAGCAAAACATGACTTTTCTCACCAAATAACAACTGCTTTGACACGCACAGCTTTGAGAGATAAGCTGCCTGTACATGTCTTCATCTCCAGAGCTGTGATCTTTATACTGTGGCTCTGTAGCCCACTGGGTAGCCAGCTGTACAATGTGGGTATCAGACCACCTGTAGCCATGCAGAAAAGAAAACTCTTTGGGACTCTTCAGCTGAGCAGAGGTTCCCTCACACTATAGCTAGTAATATAGAAGAGCTCTAGATGAAACTGCACCTGGCTTTTATCAGCAAACAATAGTGAGAGTCTGTATTTCAACCAGCAGCCAGTAAAGAAAGATTCCTTACCAACTTACTCGACCTCAGGCAAAAAGTAAAAATCCAAACCTGGGCTGGTCATTAGCAGATGTCCAGCTGATGAACAACCGTTTTGAGAGATGCCACTCTAAAAATTACACTGTAAGAAAATTGAGATGAGCAGAAGAAACTCAATGTTTCTTGATAGATTTATACATGGAGAACTTCTGTATCTGACAGACCTGAGTCACACTGTTGGAGGACAGACAACTCTGCATCCAAAATAAGCTACAGCACAGCTTCTTTCAAATAGAGGAATGACTCAGAGGCACCCACTGTCACCACGTCTGGTGGTGAGTCCATCAGAGTTCACAGTGACACCCCCTCTGGCTTTGAACACTGGACAACAAAGCCAGAGCAATCTTCACACGTCAGGCTGCAGAACAGCAGGTGGCTTGTGTTTGTATTTAATACGACCGGCACAACCGCACATTTAATATAAGCACACACAGCTGACAAATGCCCCTATGATAAACCAAAAAAAGCCCCAGAAGCACTCCCCTCCCCTTCAAAGGCCCATGGTAAGGACTATGGTGGCAAGGGTCTGTTCAGAACAGCCCCAAACCCTGACACCTGGGCAGTCCCAACACTTGTTTGCAAGCAGATCACCAAGAGAAGAAAAGGACAAAAATGCATGTTTCTGAGAAGGCAGATTAAAGACTGAGCGCACTAAATCAGTGTTTGCCCTGGTTGGAAGAGGAAGCATGCCACAAAGATAAGTCTCTGATTTTATTCATTGCACTTCTACTTGTCTCTTGCATGGGGAAATCCCCGAAGCCAGTACTACAAGGCAACCACTAGGCTATCAGAAGTCTCTTGATTTAAGTAGTGCTTTCTGCTTCTGGTCCAGCTACAGTGCAGGGTGAGTGTCCCACCTTTTCTCTCTCTCTTGCTAAGTTTCTGATCCATTTCATTTTAGTCCATTTTAGCAGTTGACTTCACTTTCAGTTCCAGTTACAAATACCCAACACTACATTTTTGTTTCTTAGCAAAAAACCCTCTGTTTGCTGACCATTATCTATCTAGGGTAAATTGTCTGCAGATGCCCAGTATGTGATTATGAAAGATTAAACAAACAGTAAGGGAACAGCTTTAGGAATCCAAAATGCCAGTGCTGACGATGCATACAATCATGGCTTTATTATTGAAGGGAACACAACATTAGATTGAATATTGAATGCTGCACAGCCTCCACAGATCTTACAAGCTACAGTGGCTTTCTGCTAGTGTCTCACAGTGGTTCAGGAAACGAGGGAGATGCTTTTCTACCCAGCAATACATAATGGAAAAAAAAAATGCAAAAAATAATGTCCTTGGTACTTACTACTTCTCTTCACTACTTACAATTCTGTGATAATTAGTAAATACTGGAAATATATTAGAAACAACACCTCACTAGAAAATCTTACTTGATGATCCTATTCCCGAAATTTGAAGGGCTTCTTCATTTTCTAAATTCCTGGTAATCTTAAGTAAAACCAACACCTTTCTCAACACTCAAGCCAGGTCCCTCGAAGGTGAACAGTGCTGTCACAAAAAAAATATATATACATATATATAAATAATAATAATCTATGCATTCACAGGTTAGAAAACAAACAAGCAAACAACTCTCACATCTGTAGGATTAGCGACAGTAACTTCCCCCAGACCGGTTTGCTCATTATCTTTTCTGACATCCACACAATATGACGAGATGAGCAAAATCAATTCTGCCTTTTGCTGAGTTATGCAGCAGGTGGTTCTCTTTGGAATGTATTGACCGTCTCCTCATGCTTCGTTTGTTTCTTTAGACATTTTGGCAAGGTGGATTTTATGGATGTCCTTCAGAATAACAGATATTGGGTGAAAGAATAAGTCTACAATAGAAGAAAGGGAGGTAGAGGAAGTTGCATCTTCTCTACAGTGACAGAGCTCATAGGAAGATAATCTATGCTGACTCAAATGGGGTCATCTACAGCTTTCTTTTCTGGCCTTCCCTCTCCTGAATCTTCTTTATGCAACCTTTGAAAAGTTTATGATACGATGACACCATATTGATAAGAATCACAGAGAACAAAGTGACTTAGCGGGCTCTTTCATCTCAAAGCTGTTTCCAAGAAACGGAGGTACATATTGATTAAGATCAAAAATTACACTCTGCCATTTGAACGCTGACTGTACAGTTGAGAAGACAGAGGAAGGAATTTGTATTTATATACCAAGATCAATATTGTTTACTTGCACTTTACACCAAAAGATGTCAGTATGAGTAGGATTTTTAGTTTTTTCAATCCCATTGGATCAGCCATTGGCTTATCTATAAAGAGAGGTGCTCCAGAGTCCAGAGCAAAGGGACTCACGTGGGCAGGGTAGGTCCAGAAACAGCTCTACCTCTTGAAAAGATGTTCCCTATGGTCTAAATGGGATTTTTAAAATTCTTTTGGGCAATAATTAACCTCAGTAAACTGCAGGAATTAATCAACTCAGTAAAACTCTTGGTAAGACAATAGTGATGTGGCATTACTAATGGGGAAAAACACATATTGCATTAAGATATGAAATGTTTTGCACATAATCTGAAACTCACAGCTCACTGCTGACTTCTAACGAGGTTTTGCAATTGTGCCAGAAGAGGTTTCCTCAACAAGGGAGTAACATTCTGAGCTGTTTATAACTTACCAATACATACAACTGTTAGATACAGCTTCTTCAAAATCTAATATTATAATATATACTTTGACAATGGTAATCTTGGGATAAAAAATAATGAACATAATGTGATTAGTAGCTGTAATTTCCATTTCATGTGAATGCAATAACTCTAACTCAAATCTAAACCAGAAAATGAGTAACTATGACGTTTTTGGCCAGCCAGACCCGGAGATATAATTAAAGAGAGTACCCATCTCCATTTGGAAATGATTGAAGCTCTTGAAACTAGATCAATTGGATCCCAAGAAATATCCCTTCCAATAAGGTCCATATAAATTGCTCATATTAATTTAACTATAAATTACATAGGATGTTTTTGTTAGGAGAAGAGGGAAGAACTTTCCAAAGTCTCTGACTATTTCCTACTGTATTAGTTAGCATAGGAAGAGGAACTGATTCCCAAAAAACAAATGTGTTATTATTGCCAAACACCACTCTTGGAAATCAGAGACAACAAGCACCTGGTAGCTTATCAATAGTGTGGTCTAGTCAAAGAGATTTTCTTATCACATCCTTTTTTTTTCAGTTTTTATTCTTGAGGGTTTTTCTTATATAGCTTTAAGAATGATAATGTGGCTTCTTCAGCATGTTTTAGGAATTCATTCTAACTTGATAGGTAATAAATCCAATTTATCTGCAGGCTATTTTTTTTCTGTTAATTAGTTTAATGCCATTGATTTCAAAATATCTCCTTCCTATGAGACTGAAGCCTCTCAGGTACTCTGGAAAGCTCCTATCAGTGGACAGAAAGTGTGTTTTTGCCCACTTTTATAAAACCTTTTTTTCTCCCAAAACAATCATTCCACATTTCAGTCATTTCTGACAGTCCCTCAAGACTCCTTACCCTTTCTGCAATTATTCCAGTTTGCCAATACCAGTTCTTTGGAAGTCAGGGATCAGAGTCTGGTCTTCATGCAGCTGTACACAAACTAGCCCTGGCTGAACTCTGCCAGCCATACCATGTGGCACACATTTGAGGAAGAGAAAAATCCTTATAGGATATATTGTTTGTTCATTTGTTTTTAATTTTTTTTTTTCCAATTTTTCTCAAAGTCTGAAATTGAACAATAAATTACTTTCTTAGGGACATGGTTGCTATTGTGGAGTGAAATTTAAAAAGCCTCAGAATTGAAGGATATGTACTGTGAAACACAAGATGAATACAAGGAATGTAAAAAAGGTCTCCAGTAGTGTAATATGTTTCATTATGTATATGATATCAGATTGCAGGTAGCTATTCAACCCTGGACATAAAAGGTCCTGTGAGACCAGCAGCAAAAGACAGTTTATCAATTGTCCTGACTATTCACAGCACAGAAAAGTGACACTGAAGGCTATGACTAATTGTTATTTAAGGATATATTCAAAACCTCTAACCCAGGACCAAAGCCTTATGTAAACCTGCAATGTACTCTCAATGTAGGATAAATTAATCTTTATTTCATAAACATGTTGTGTAGTCAAGCACAGAGCTCATGTATCACCTCATTCTTATGCATCACGTATTGAGCTTTTCAGCAAACCACAAGCACAGTTAATTAAAAGAAAAAGAGCAGAACCATTTTGTAGGAATTACTTTGAACATTTCAGGTAACAGATGTGATGTCCCAGCTACTGCTGCCATTCCCAGAGTGCACATCAGAGTCCTCTTGCTAACTGCAGTGCACACACGCTGCCACCACTTCTGCCTTGCACTTTATATTCAGCTTTTTCTCAGCCTCATGGGGCACATTGTGCTGTGTCTTGGGGACCTTCTGGTTGGGGACCTGCTGGAATACAGCTTATGGAGCTTATGGAAACTACAGATAGAGAGAGCTGGCACATCCCAGACCTTTATCGGTGTGGAGTAGAGGTGTGGGTAAGGCATGCCTGCAACCAAAGCACTTCTGACTCCTGGCTCAGACACAGCCTCCCCCACCTTCCATTGCTTCTTCTCTCCAGCCATTTTATTTATTTATTTATTTATTTATTTTTCAGAACATGCCTTTTTATTCTCATTTCTCCCCTCCTGTTGTTGTCTCCACCCCCTTCACAATCAGTCATGTGGTGCTTGAAGTGAGCAGGGAGAGCATGCATCCATGTGGTGAGCTACTGCGTATCCTTGTGTGGCTGAAGAGGAAGAGGGGAAATACACACACTCACCCTCTTGTATAAGGAATATACTCCTCACCTATCCCATGAGAAACAAGCTAAATCTCAGGTGCTATATAGTTGCACTGCACAGAAATGCAAGAGGCCATTTTTTTGCAAGAGCTGCTATGTATCTCTGAGGTTTTCTTTCATGTTTAACATTTAAAATCAGGTAGAAAAATCATTTTGTTGACTCATTTATATCTAAATATCAGTTGTCATAAAGGCTTTAGCTACTTATTTCAGTAAGAAAAGATTCTCTACCTAAGCATTTAAGCTTTCTGTTGCATTTCTATTAAAAACAGTTGTAACTATAGGACACTAGGGTACTCATTCATGAACGTCTTAAGGGATAAATCCTCTGTTTGAATAATTGCAAATGAAAAGTTAAATCCTGAAATTCAATTGCAGTCTAAGTTTTCACTGTGGGCCAGAATGTTCTAATAACCTAAACATTAGGAAAACTGAAAGATCTACACAGCAGTGTAATTTCCATGGAGAAAGAAAACTTCATATTCAGCACAATCATTTATCTCTTACAACACATCTTGTTTGAATTTTTAATTTACCATTGTTAACCCTATGTTAGTGTTTTTGTTTGTTTGTTTTTTAACAGAGTGAAGTGCTTACAAGAAAAAGAAAAAAAATAAAAGCTACCATTCAATCACATAGTAAAGCACAGTCCCATCACAGCACTGTGGTAAACAATTAGAGGTAAACACGGATAAATCCAGATTTAACCTCCTCTTGCCTGCCTTTAACCACAGATGATTTGAAAATGATTCAGACTGAACAGCTAATAGACAGAAGTTTACTGAATGCTTTAATTAATGTACAACAGTGTCTTCAAACTACACACATCACAATGTGGGGTCAGAAGTTGAAAAGATATCGAAGTAAGGGAATGAAAACCAATTGCTAATTCCTTTTTGTAGCAAGAGGAGGAACAATGCTTTGGATGGAAGCATTGGAAGAAATTTATAATCTCAAATGATGTAGAAAATAGACACACAGTAACTCAAATATGGCAACAGACCACTGCATGGCATTCTTTTATTATTATTATTATTATTTACTATTTTTTTTTCCCTAAGCAGATAGACCAAGCAGAAATAGTGAGTTCTGGGGAGATGTAAACATGGAGAGGAGACCTGGCTTTAATGACTTCCATTTTGAAGCATTAGACTTTATAAAAAAGATGTTTTATTGGTGATGGATAAGAGTATAATTCTTGCATACAAAGAGTCTAAAAGCACTGAAGATCATTCTAAGGTATTTATTCATTTATAAGCCAGAAGGAGTTCTAGTAGATAGGAGCAGAGAATGCTTTAAATTGATGGGGTGAGGGAAATGGTTGAAAAGACTGGTGATGAAAGAGACCTTAACGGCTCAAGCTTTCAATATTTCACTGATTTTTTGGGCTTGCGTTAAGAGCCAGAACTTCAGTTTTGCAGTTTAGTTTAAGACAAGGAGAAAAAAAAAGAAGAAAAAAGTAAAAACAGGCCTTTAAACTCATATAAACAAAATTCCTATAGATTTTGGAAAGTTTAGAACCAAGACCCACAGGAGTGAGAGCTTCGGATGGTCTTCTAAGCCCCACTCTCTGTATCTACAAAACAATAGTAAAAATATTTTGGTTGAGAGAATTGCCAACTTGCAAATGGACAGTTTAAGAAAGTCAGATTGGAAAGAGACATGATGTACATGTTTTCTGTCAAGAACATTGCTCTAATTATTTGATTATTGTAAAAAAAATAAGGTCAGAACCTGACATTTAATTGGGGGGAATGGGGAAGAAATGCTACACAGGTCAGGACACTGGATAATGAACATCATTTTATTTCTCCATGCATGAACACCTATGGTATACATATCCCTTTTTGATGGCAATTTTTAATAGGGTCTTACAGCAGGGAAGGTATAAACCAGGCAGGTAAACAACAAAACAGAGCTGAAAGTCTACACATCTGCTTTAACTGGCAAAAGGCCAAGTGGCCAAAATAAACCATTATAACTGCAAAATTTATTTCTGCTTTGTTATTGAGACTGTAGGTGCAGAAATATCAGTTACAGAAATGTCAAGATTTGTCTGAATGAAATATGAATGGAGATGCCTGTGTGTATGAGGACACCCAAAGAAACTGAAGAGAGCAAGGGTTAAAACATTGGCATATAGCAATAGATAACTGAGTATGTGGCAGACAGCAACCAGACTTGTAAACCTGGGATGTGTTGCCATCAGAATGCATCTCTGTTTGTGTAGATGGAAACAAGAGGGTGGCAACATCACACGTACCACTCCTGCTCCTGTCACCCAACTAGAAGTCAAGTAACAGCCAGGAAGGTAACCAAAACAAGAAAATAAAGGCAATGGACAGCAGCTGTGTGTAATGGCAGACAATGGCAGACTAATGGCAGACAAGATAAACAAGGTTCAGAGTTGAAAGCTCATTCCATGGTAACTGCAGAGTCCTAATGGGCACGTCAGATCTATTGGGGAAAAAAAGAAAAAGAAAAAAAAAAAGGTCTTTTGTCTTTTTCTCCTGAGAGATGTGTTCAGGACTTGGAAGGAGAAGTCACGATTCTTGGTGTTGCTCACTACTGATCCTGGCCAGCTTGTGAGTATGTGGGTGTGAGACGGTGAGTGGGTCTGATACCTGCTTTTGTTTAAAGTAGCTCCGTACCTTACACAGACTCCTTCTACATTAATTTGCTACAAGATTTCAGTTAATAGAGGATTGTTCTACTGAAAATGAAAAAAGTTTTTAGCTTCCTTAAACTAGGGAAACCTTAAAAAAAAGCCCAAAATATCACCTATTTGTCTCATGCCAGGTGAACACACTTTGGTGATAAGACTGAGAAGCCTCTGCTGCTGGAAACACTTGTGCTAATTACTTCCTCCCTTAGTTATCTGTAACAGAAGCATAAAAGAAGTGGAATTGATCTCTAAAGTGCTGTAGCCAAAGAACACCCTTTAAGGAAAAACTACTTTAATTAAACCAAGAAGAGCTGCAGCTTTTCCTCAGGACAAAACTGCACACCCATCCAAAGGAGCAGTGCCTGCAGGACTGCAGAGTTCACAGTAATTAAGAACAGAGATGAGCAGCTCAAATGGGAAGAGACTGAGCAAGGCTTAATACATGCTGTCACCCACAAAACGATATTAGAGAGGCCAGCTGATGGTTTAATCTGGACAGAGAATACTGACTTGAACTAGAGATAGATCTGGGAGTCATTAACATTCCCCTGGCAGAGAGTCTAAGAACAAGTTTGAACAAAGGATAAGAATAAAGAAGGAAAGCAACCAAGGAACTAAATTCTCTCAGACTTACAGGGAGTGGGAGGGGGCACAGTTAAGAGCACCTAGAGAATTGTTCGAAAAGCTGAGGAGACAAGCCAAAAGAATGATAGATTTCTACATCTCAGGAGAACATACAATTGCCAGAGAGACTTGCTGGATGATGTCAAGGTGCTTGCCAGTCGAACAGGGTGAGAAAGTAAAGGATCGGAGATGTGTTCACATAGATCATCCCAAGGGCTGGGCAGGAGCCATCCCAAAGCTTCAGCAACATCTGGCAGCTGGGCAGAAGGCAAGGGGATCAGCTACTGCCTAGTGATTACACAACGCACCTCCAGAAAAGGTCAACATTTGCAGCTGTCTGTTATTAAGTAGGCTTCCGCAGAAGTTGTTCCATGTGTATGGATGCCTTAAGGTGTCATCAGGGAATGGGAATGAGGGGCTGGCATCCAAAATGAGAAAACCCATTCAAACAGAAACATTGGTTGACAGCTCAAGAGAGCACTACCTTTCAAGAATAATCTGTACTTTTTTTTACAGCAGCCCTCTTTTCTGCTTAAACACAAAATCTATTAGGCTGCTGATATGTTTAAATGCAATGCATAAAACATTTCTCCATTTCATTGGAGAAACAGGTACAAATGTGAAACACACTCAAGAAACATAAGTGGGAGCAATTCAGCACTTATAGCATTAGTTTTTAATACAGCAGCATGATCAAATGTTGAGAGCTCTGCCACATAAAACTGGGAAAGAACAAGCGTATTTCAAAAACTTATTCCATTTATCATTTTTAATTACATCCTTTAAAGGCTTTTAGAGGCATAGGGCTGTTGAGTATATCCCCAGCAGAGATATAAACACAAGAAAAAGATGAATATTAAATCATGACAGTGTCTGTAATTCATCACCACAGCAAGACCAAGAAACAAGACTTGACTCTGCCATTAGCACTGATCAGTTGTCTCAGCGAAAAGTAAGAAGGCAAATGGGCATGGTAAGAGTGTCTCTCACAGGATACATTGAGCAACACTGTGTATACCTAGCTCTACTACACACAGGTTCTAACACAGGGCTTTGCAAGCATAACAGAATCATTCCGGTCTAATTGTAGGTACCAAGTTTCTCCATGTGACTAACTCAGTCTTAGAATCCACAAGAAACAAATAAAATATTATTTCTTTTGAAATGCTAATGGGTAGCAAAAATATCTACAACGTGTGAATGAGCATCCCCTGCCACATCCTCAGCAGGATGAAAATTATTTTTGCTCATATCTAAGTAATATAAATACAAATAATTGTATGTTAAATTGATTACGTGAAAATCACTTGTACATAAGCAAAGCCCAGGCAACTGATTGCATTCAGGTAATCAAATGTGAATGTAAGACCCCTTGGAAAAGGATTTGTTCTATGGGGCTGTGGATAAATACCATTGCCTCACAAGTAAAGCAACTCCTATGGAAGTTGTGCTTTCATCCCCATTAGGTGCTATTGCAGCCTGGGTTGTTCTGTGTAGGTGTTTCCATTTGGGGATTTTACATTCTGCAGTTGTGAATGGATGGCATGACCGTCTGGTTCATATTCTGTGTACAACACCGTTAATTTCATGGAAATCAGAATACCCAAGCACTGTAGCTGTGTTATATTTTTCAAAATATGTTAGTGACATTTACAGATTGAAACAACTCTTGGTTAATGGTTATAAGCTTCTGTTCAGTGCGATCTCATGTGCTCTTTTCTTTTCTCTTTATCAAATCTGTGTAACAAAATGGCCCATTTGCACTCTGCTGTTAAAGATACTGGCACATCTCTAGGTTTGGCGAGGAAGGAGAGGAAGAGTCCAGAGTAGTCGCAGCTGTTACTGCTTTATGAATCCATAGTTACAGAGGTGAAACTGTCACACAAAAGCCCAGATCCCCAACAGTTTTTCTTCCCTTTATTTATCTCCCCTCATCCTTTCTCCTTTTTTGCAGAATGAGCAGTGAAATAATGGGTGACACTTTTTTTTTTTTTTTTTTTTTTTTTTTTTTTTTTTAGGCCTGTTGCAAGCCAAGTACAAAGCAAACAAGAAGGGAAATGTTGAACATAAAATCTGGAAGTTGCTTTTGTCCAGAAATGTTGATATAATCAGATTGAGGTATTTAAAAAGTCTTAAAATTCTTCCAAACAAAACATTTTGAAATAACAAACAAAAAGTGCCTGGCACTTCTCATTAAATTAAACTGTCACTGGCAAACTCCAGACACTCCTCTTACAGAGCCTCAAATACAAATAGTTACTAATTGCCATTCAGCTTTTGCAAAGAAAAGCCAGAAGACAGCCAATATCAACACTGTAAAATAAAGAAAAAGAAACTATGGTGGGTTATTTTCCCTCTACTCAGACATACTGGCCATCTCTTATGTTTACAGAGCTGTCAACTCCCCAAAAAAGACATCCGACACAGCAAAAACTTTCCCTCATATGTTAATATACGCTTTTTTAAAGTCATTTATTGGTAGGAAAAAAAAAACAAAAAGAAACCAACAGCAAGAAGGGAGCTTGAATACCTTGTCTGATAGCAAGAATAAAGTCCTTTCCCGTACTGGTGTTCTTGTTTGAGGGATTTTTCTTCCATCCTGCATTATCTGGGAGGGGCTGCATTGGCTTTGGAAGTTTCTGCGTTAGGTAAGCACACATCCAACACAAACACCTCAAGAAACAGCTTGAAAGGAGGAACTGCCTACAAATGTAGCTCATTTTTCTTTCCATCTTGATTTCAGAGAGTGACAGCTGGAAGCCCTGAAGAACAGTCCGGGTTACAGTCTGGCTGGAGATCCAGGCCTTCAGGTGCGAGCAGAAAGGAAACAAGTCCACCATCAGGACTCACCAAGAGATCAGGTTAGGTGCAGCTTGTTTTCTTACAAGCTACCACCACAAAGTCCCGTGAAGCTGTTAGTGAGGGATCAGACCCGCAGCAGCCCGCAGCAATCACGGGGCAATGCGTAGATGTGCTGAGGTGGCAGCCCCCAGGCAGAGCGTGGCTGTGCAGGACGAATGGCAGCTCCAGGGCACCATGCAAAGTCAGTGGGAGCTGCTAAGAGCAGAAGTCCCTGCTTTGCTGTATTAGCAGAAGTCAACAGAAACCGCATTACGATGTGTTTGGTAAAATCAGGAGAGGAGTCACAGCAGGCTGCCTGCGCTCAGGGCAGGTGCTCTGCTGGCAGGCTGTGCTAACACCTTGGGACATTGCAGCGTGAGGGTAGTAGGCGGGTGGATGAACCACGAACCCTCCTCCCAGCCCTTTCCAGCCTCCTCAATATCCCCCCAGCCCACAGTCCGTCCCCACCATTTCTCTCCTGCATCATTTGCATGTCTTCACCAATGCTCTTCCATCCCAATGAGACCCTCTCACTTTCCCCACAACCACCATTTTTATCTCTTAACCCACTGACATTTCTTTCTTGTTTCCCTGGGGGTCTCTCCCACCTCCTGCCCTGCCTTCTCCTGCCCCTCCTGCTGCCTCCTCTCCACCCATGAAGTGACAGCCACAGCCTCAAACCCTCTGTGCCCGCAGCAGTGCCCTCAGAAGTGCTCATGTCTACAGTGTTCCTCCTGTCCCCTACTCCCGTTTGCGCCCTCAAGCCTTCTCCCCTCAGACACCCCACTGCTCCCTCCATCCCTTCTGCCATTGGGACTGGGCCTGGGACATGGCCATGGAGGTGCTGACCTGCTGGCCTGACCAGCACCCAGAGGCCAAGCAGGGGTTTGGGTCACTGCTCCACGTGCCTTCTCCCTCACCATCACAGGGCACTGCAGTACCCCATTCCTGGCCTTGCAGATGGTCTTGCTCTCAACACTCACTATATGAGCAAGGCCCAGGACAGAACCTGATGTTAGTAGGGCTGCCAAAGCCTATTTTTTTGGCCTCTGTGTATTGGCATTTTGCTCCAAGTCTATAACATTGATGTGGAAAAGGTCTCTTGGTGTCATGTGTGGGCAAAAAAAAAACATGGTAAGCTCACAACAAAAGAGTACAAATTAATGGGAGAGCTAGGGTATATTTTTAGTGACCATGTCGCTTCTTCCAGATACTTCGTGTTGTACATTCACAGCAAAGTCTACCAGTATTCCCTTGTCATAATAAAATACCTGTGCTGTCACTGACAGCGATGTTTCCCTTTCCTCAGTAATGGAGACAAGCCACTGCTGGTGCAGCTGCTGCAATTACTTTCTTTAGCTCAGCAGTTTACAACAGTAATTCTCATTAAAGTAAACCTGTGGAAGGTGCCAGACTGCTGGCTCTGCTGAGCACAGCCCTACGTGTAGCCACAAAATTTGAACTCCAGTTGCTTGTAGCAGCACAAGGTTTCTTGTGCTGTCTTCAGCACATATCCTTCCCCGACAGCACTTAGGAAATAAAGAGAACATGTGCTGAGTTTACATGATCAATAGGATCAATAGGATCATGTAAACAAAGGAAATAAAGAGAAAGCTCAGCTGTGTCTGTATGTCCCTTCTCTATCATGAAGCGAGGTCTGCAGTACAAGTGAAGGTTTAGGTTTGGGGAATGAGCATTCACAATCCTCCTCACAGCTTGTGATGACAAATGGCAGCTCAGCCACAGCTCACATTTGTACCAAACACAGCTCAAAGGTGGCACTTGTGCAAGAAGGAGAAACTGAGAGTTACCAGTTATACCTTGGATAAGCCTTGTTTTTATATATTTTTTTCATTTTCTTTAAAAAAATAATTTATGGAATTAAGCATTTCCTTGGTGCATCCAGCCACAGAGCAGCTGCAGAGGAAAACGTGGGCTGCAGGAGAGAAGACTTGGGAAGAGGAAGCTGGTCTCCATGTCTGTAAATGGATTGTCAGTGCTACCCCTGTAATTAATTTAAGTCCTCACAAGAAGGAGAGGTATTTTGCTATTTATGTTTGTTTCTCTTTTCCACTAAGAAGGGATGATGTAGGTTACCACCACTCTTTCAGTCTAAATGTCACTTCACAGCCTGAAATAATACGTCTCTTTTGTTACTGCCTTGTGGGATCCAATGACTTCAGGGATACCTGTGGCTCATCCTGCACCATCCACCCCTCTTAATTTCAAAACTGGAGACAGCTTTAGCAAGTAAGAGAAAAGTAAGTAAGAAAGGTTCACCTTCTCTGTAAATCAAATGCTTCAGGCAAAAGCACATTTTATCAGACTTGTTTTTCAAATCCGTAGTAACTGCTTGCATATCATATTGGTTTACTGTTGGCTGAATATCATATAGCAGAATTGTTTTAGAGGGGTATTTTAATTTATTTTGTTTTATATTTTATTATCTTCAGTTGGAATGGAGCATGGCTGGAATCTGATGTCCATACAGATACTGAAAGAAGCTCCCATTTAAATATTTGGTGACCAGCTGCCTGCATTGTGAGGCCAGAAGCCCATTTTGCTGGGCTACACAAGCAACAGAGCAGCCAGATGTCTGTCTGAGAGGCCAGCCAGAGGCAGAGGACCACATGGAGGGGCAGGGGTGATGGGGGCAATCAGGAGGGAGAGGCAGGGCAGTTAAGGGTCTTTTAGGTGTAAACAAATCCACTTGGATCAGGGATTCAGAAGGTAGTGTGACAAATTTAAAGAGCGGAGAAGATGAGCTTGGCGGTTGTCTTAGCTATGTTGGCTTAGGAAAAAACTGGGCAGCAGAGCACAGGTACCAGGGAGCTATAGCATTCTCTTTTCTTTCAGTACATGCCTGTTCACTTTAAAACCCAGCTCCCTTTTGTAATACATTGTATTAAAGCTCAAGACTAAAATAAATGTTATTATTTTGCGTGTTTGTTTTTTTTTCATGTGCCATTCTGGCCTGGGTGCCCCCTCGCACTGCAGCAGTGTGCCGTGGGGCTAGGCCGCAGCGGTAGGTGGTGTGCTCCAAGGCTCAGCGTGGGTCCTGCAGCTCTAATGCTCCTCACCAACTTGGTTATTAATTGAATCCTGCTGATAACGTGAACAAAGGTGTCATCCTGGTTTGTGCGTACTCTCTTTTTCTTTTTAATTAAAGTGTAGACTCACAGAAGAAGTCTGGGGACATAAAGACCTATGAAATTCATTCCAATGGTTGCATACGTGTTTGACCTAGTTAGCATCTGCAAATCTGTTTAATGCCAAGAACTACATTAGACAATTCATGCAAAAGCTCACAGGGAGTCACATAATGAGACTGTTCAGATTATTGTTGTGATTAGTCCAGTCCCTTCCCCCTTCTCACTCAGGAATATCATTTAGGCAAGTAGTCATTTTAAGAATATGCAAATGTTGATTGCAAGTTTGCTATGAATCTGGCAAAAAGCCAGGCTTCTGTGAAGCTGGCTACTATAGGCAGCATGAAGTTAAATATGCATGACCTTGCATAACGTTGATCCATGGGCTTGCAGGCATCCTGCACCTGTAAAGATTCAAGCCTACCAACTATCAGTCCCTATTCTGTATGCAAAGTGTCTCTAGCATCATAGTTGAATTGCTTAGCATTTCAGTGCTCAATGATCATGTAAAGTCAGCACATGTTCATTACTTCTCTCTTCTTTGGTAAGTTCTTGAATAAAAAAGTCATGTATTTATCCATGGTAAATGCAATACTTTGATCTTGACAAAAATACATGTATGGGGAGGGTGGGAAGATTTCATACTGAAAACATCTTCGTGGTTATATTAAAATTGGATGAGTCCAGTGTTACCAAGACAAGGAGAATAAAATGCAATGGTTAGTATAAATTATGTATTTGACAGTGAGGAATTAATGATGCATTATTAAGATCAGGGTAGCACTAGGCAATTGCCTGAGGGCATTGTACATATTCAGGAGTCACAGAAAAGTCAACTCTGGCTCAGTGTTATAAATGATAATCTAAAGTAGAACAAAATTTATAAGTCCAATAAAATCAACTTCACCTAGTCTCAATTTACAAATATTTGTCTTGCATATGTGATAGGCTATATGTATTTTTTAAAGAGGTTCTTTAACATTAGGCTATAAGGGGCCAAATTCTGACATTTTGAATACCAGATGAACTCCTTTAATAATTTTGAATAAAAAATGGAACTTCTAGGATAACAACAACAACAAAATGCTGCCAAACAATGTCAAATTTATTCTTTTAAAACAGAAGGTCTGCACAGAGCACTGACTTTCCATTCTGAACCTCATAATTTACTTGTAGCCAAATTTTGCTTCCTCCCTCTCATTGCTTTACAGCATCAGGAGCTCTTACTTGCCTAAGGGAAACTGTGGTGAGATCAGCAACACCTCCCTGTACCCAACAGAGAGACCTCACGGGGCCACGGACCAACCGTGGTGTTTTCCAAGGCTAATCAGTGAATTCCCAGCCCTATGGAAAGGCCTTCCTCCACACAGCTGACTTTTTTGTTAATAAGTGCAGTAGTACTTATTATTAACTTACCTTGCACTTCAGGCTGGAGCAGGAGGATGACATTTCCAATGCTCTTACTCCAATGTCATCATTACCGCTGTGTTGTTAGCATGTGGTACCCACTTTGCAATTGCTGTGGCAACAGGTCAGTGGCTGCACAAACAGAAGTGTGCCCTTTTGCAGAGTTTCTGCATACATTTTGTCTTAAATTGAGGAGCAGTCTTAGAATAACTCTTATACCTGTAAAAAATATTGCTTCCTGAATCATATGCTATAGCATATTGCTGTTAAGCAGGCAGTATTTCCAGTGTTTTGGAGAGCTAGCTCTAAACAAACAAAGCCAAAAGAGGACTGGTAGTTTTAAGGTGAATGTGTGTCCTTCAGTGTGGAACATTTGTTGTTAAGTAAATAAACATCTATTTATACCTATTCATAATCAATTGAAAGAGTTATTTCAAGCAATTACTGTTGGTATGACTCAAGCACCCAGGCTAAATTCTAGCCAGACAATAAAAGGATTTTATTTTATTATTATTATTTTTTTTTTCTAAAGCTTGACAGGTTTTTGAGCAGATTTGGAGGAAAATACAAATCAACTGTTAACATGGTAAAGCCATGCACAGTAACTCCACTTCTGGAGCTTTTGATGACTTAGGAGACATTCACACTGCAAAAAGAGACATAAACCAGCATATTGCTGCAGCACTGCTGGCTTTGCAGTGTGTGGGACTCCATCCAGTCATGGTGCAGAGGGAGGCTGGATACGAGACCACCACCTTCCATTCCCTTTTCTACTCTTTGGCAAAGAAGTATGTGAGAAATACTGACGCGAAGTTTCTGTGGAGACATCAGGCAAAGCTGGATGGACAGATGCACATGCTGACAAATACTTTTAGAGGTCAGTACATGTTCACAAAATCCTTTGCTCTCACATACTTACACTCTTTCTTTTCCTTCTTCCCAGACAGACTTCAAATGATCCAGTCTTGTTTTATTTCTTTCCCCAGTTCTGCTCCTCCTGGCACACCTCTTCCCCCTCTATTTTGTCTCCATCCTTTCTTTCCTTGTTCCATGACTCTCCAGGGAGCAGTACTGTGCAGGGCAGAGAGGCTGAGGTTGAAAGGCTGGGTGAGGTGGCTGCAGATGCTCAGTAACCACAGCTCTCCAGCATCACACACACGAGTATATTGCCCCATATTAATTCTAGCATGATTAACCATGTCAAGAGGACAGCAGTGGAGCACTTCTATGTCTAAATGAGGGTGACTAATGTCAGGATATTAGAGGTAGCCACAGCAGCATTGCAGAGACAGAGGAGACCATGTATGCTTCAGGACCAGCACCTGGGGGCCAGGTAGAATACCTGAGGATGTCTGATGGCACATGTTTAGCACCTGAATTACACCCTTGGAAGGAGTTGTACCTTAACTACTTCTCAAGGGAAAGAAGTCCTCAACATACCAAACAATTATGCCCTGCAGTCAAGATTTACACTTCAGAAAAAATCATTTGAGGCTAAGAAACCAGTAAGGAAGCAGACAAATAAAATAATAACCCTGCTTTCATAAAGCATTTATTTTTTTATTTGAAAACATTATACAGGCATTACATTGCCACAGCCAGTCCATATAGGAGCATGCAAATATCAAAATGAAGAAAGGTTTGTTCAGCTTTCTGATGCAGGATTTGGGGTTGGGATTCTGTTTGCTTGGTTTTGTTTTTGGTTCATGTTCCCATCTGCGGTGTCAAGATTAGTGTGCTTTATTATGGCATTTAACAGTAAAATCCTACCCATGGGGTAAAATTTATATTTGTAGCTAGCTTAGGAATACTAAATGGTTTAAAAAAAAAAAAAAAGAAAAGAAAACAATACTACACGCTTGTCAAAATGTTAATAGCACAAGTTAGCAATCTCTACACTATACATTGAAACTTTTTCATATGACACAGTGGTGCAAAATTTTCAATTGCTTGGTCTTTTGTTGTGTTGTTTTGAAAGTTTATAGCTGGAACAAGGACAAGGTCTGTCTCCCAGTGAAGGTTTTCATCCAGTAGCAGAAAATTACATCAGTCTTGCTAAGGGCTGCTCAGTGCCAGCAGTGTATCAGGGTTTCAGTCTGTTCAGGCAAGGATCTACACAGAACTAGTGATGTCCTAATGCAACACGGAGAGTAGCTGCCAGTTAGATAGCTGAACCTCTGCTGGTGTGTACTGAGGTCTTGAACTGCAGGAAACAAGCAGGTAGAAGTAATGCTTTCCTTCACTAGACCTCAGCTTTTCAGTCAACACAGTTACTTGTAAAGCTATACTACTGTCTTCCTTTGAGGTCCATCGCTCAGCACACTGGTGGTAATTGAAGTTCACACCTTTCTTAATGGGAGAGCAGAAAGTGAAGCAGCCCCACTCTGCACGTGAAACTCCCCCTGTGCAAGTAACATGGGGGATGGTGGCTGGGTGCAGAGTGCACACCCAAACATTCGTATCTTATTTCCGTACAACAGAGCCTTTTAAAATAGACTACAAAAACAGCTCTGGATGGCACGATGCAGACACCCCATGGTTTGCAAACTCCTGTATGTAAAAACTCCCAGTCCGGTGAACTGCCCAGGACATGCCTTCTGCCCAGCTCTTTCTGAGAAGACTCCAACAAACATCTACAAGTTAGTGTCAGAAAAATGAAGAGGGGTAGGCGGAAGGACTACAAACATTTGGCTTGAAAATAAATACTAATAATGAAATAAACCAAAAAGAAGGAACTGTAAACATGGAACAAACACACACACCATCCTCAAAGGTCTCAAGACCAACATGGGGACTAATGTTCAGAGAAAGGTATTTAATTGGTATAAAAGGTAGCAAAAAGACTGAGATGACAGGTGCCCGCCAGTGTGCCTCCAAGCACCTGAGAGAGCCGTGGTGATTGTGACCAAAGCCCCTGCTCCTGGAGAAGGTATGAAACCTGCCTCAGGTGGAAGCTCTCCCTGGGCTTGACCCAAGGACGTTTGCTGGCCCACTGTGCACAAGGGCCTCACCCAACCATATGCTTCCCACATAGGTTTCCACCCTGCAAACCTCTCCCTGAAGTATCAGGTGATCATTCTTGTGTGGGGGTGTTTTTTGTTTTGTTTTCTTTTCTGTGAATCATGTAGTATTTAGACTTTCCTTAACAACTCCAGAAAATGTACTGATATTTCTCTGTGGGAATCCTCAGAGCTTTAAAAGAAAAAAGAAAAATCTTGGGAAGATGAAGGAGGATTCAAAGGAGTTGGACTCGATGATCCTTGTGGGTCCCTTCCAACTTAGGATATTCTATAGTTCTATGATTCTATGGATGTTAAAGAAGATTTAAAAAAAAAAAAAAGGGATGAAAAAAAAAACAACTAACAACCTACAATTGTTATGATTT